GAAAAGGCTATGAGCAGATGAGAGATTCAAATATATAAAAATGTGCTCAGCCTCACTCATTTTAAGAAAAACAAAAACTCAGACTGCACTTAGATACCATTTTTCCCCTATCTGATTGGCAATTAAAAAAATGATGACACTGAGTTGTGAGACTAGTGACAAATACTCACTCAGAGCTGATGAGAATGTAATTATTCCTGTCCCTCTGAAGCCAATTTGGCAATGTCTATCAAAACCACACAGGTATATTCCTTTGACATAGCGACTCCATTTCTATAAACTTATTGAACACACATACCTGCAACTGTAGAAAATGTCATGTTGGACAAACATTCATTCAGTGGCATTGTTTGTAAGGACAAAAGATGGCAAACGACATAACTTCACCAACAGAAAGCCAAGTCCACCATCAGCAAAGCTATGCAATGGATTACTATACAGCTGTGAAAAGAGCAAGAACTCTCAGGGAAAACATAAAATAATACCTGAAACTGATGGGGAAATGAAAAGAGCAGTAAGTTTTCTTACACTGAGAGTTCAGCACAATACTATTTACAGAGGAAAGGAAGGAGGTATATGAGGACTGAAGACAGCAGTTGGTCAGGGACTATTCTATTGACCTGTATGATGAAAAATAGGTGAGTGGTGAGGATCACAGTTTCCACCAACCTACCATGCTCCTGTTGCCATGTGACGTGGGCAGGAGCGCTCGGGACCTTGCAGTGAAGTAATGGGGGTGCTAAGTGTGGGACGCCAGGGCATGGACTCTGACCAGGAGCTACAGGACGTCCTGGGATCCTGGCTGTGGAGGGAGGGGCCTCACTTGCCTCTTGCCTTCTTTGCCCTGCAAACCTCCTGCCTGGTTTTCACCACACGTTGGTGCCTGGAATACACTGGCTCATGCTTACCCGGTTAGTTGCACAATAAGCTGATTTCCTGGTGCAGGCTTTCTTGGGATTCGCCTCCTTTCTGTCCCTTTTACCTACTTCCCAATTCTTAACCCTGGACCCATACACACTAGGTCCCTTCATGTCAGAGGCGTCTCGCTTTCACAAGACCCTTCACTACATAGCCCTGACCGTTCCTTTCTCTATCTGATCCCAGGGACACTTCTATGGGTCAGCATGGAGGTCTGTGCCACCCAGAAAGCTTTTAAAAGCTCAGAATTGAAGCAGCTATTGCTTAGAGAGCAGGTAAGGAGTCCTAGGCACCATAGTCCAGTTCCAGGCACCATTAACATGTGCTTTCATTCATTGTCTCAGTTGTTCATTCATTGCCTCAGTACTAAATGTGTACAGAGTAACTGAAGTGCTTCTTTGGGTCTTGGAGATATAGCAGCAAATGAGACAAAGTCTCAGTAGCCAAGGAGTTGAGTTGTAGAGTAGGAGATGAACAACTAATAACTCATAAATAAGCTACTTTCAGGCCATGGTAAGTGCTATGATGAGAAATAAAGCTGATTAAGGACCTACAGTGTGAAAGAAAGGGAAGATTCCAAGGTGTTCAGGGAAGATCTCATCTGAGAAGGGGCCTGGATGAAGGGTGAGCCCTGAGAAGAGTGGAGAAGCATTTTGGGTAGAGGGAACAGCAAGTACAGGGCCTCGTGTGGGAACATGGTGAGCAGGAGGAAGCGTCGGGAAAGGCTGGGTGGCTCCCACAGGAAGTTGCTGGAGGTGATGGTAAGGGCTTTGGATATAGTCTGCGGAGCACTGGCGGAAGCCGGACTTACGAAATTGATAGGACTTTCCCTGTTCTACAGATGAAGGGGTTGACATTGAAAGAGGTCAAGTACATTGCCCAAGGTCACTCAGAAGGCAAGGGACAGGTCTCAGGTTCGCATAGACTGAGACCCTCCAGGGCATGGCTAGGATGCAAGGTCTCAGCCCTCTGCCAGGACCTTGAGACTGACATCCCACAGGCTGGCTGGGGGAGAGGAGGAGAACCCCTCCTTCACTCCGTAACCCCGCCTACGCTTTGGCACAGGCCAAACGCGTCCCTGGCATCAGCCATGGCTGAGGTGGGCTGCTGTGGTCTCTTAGGAAGGCCCTTGGGGCCCCACGGGGGTCGGGGCAGCAGCGATGTGCTGACGTGACACCAGTGTCCTGGCTGCGCAGCGGCCCACTGTCAGTGAGCCAGTGAACTGAATCCTCAGCTGAAATGCTAACTCAAACCCACATGCATCCCTCAAAGCCACAGCAGGTCACTGAGAGGTGCCCGCTCGGGACAGCGGCTGCTGGGCACTACCCTCCTTACCCCAGCCCTAGGGTCTGGCTCCAGCCTCCCCAGGTGAACACGTGTGCCTTCGAGCGGGGTGGCCCAGACTTTCGGAGGGAGGGCCCCCTGGGCCTGGCCTCGCTGTGATACGCTGCCTCTCAGGGCTGGTGGGCCACACATTGTCTTCTTGGAATTATTTGTCAAGTTTTTATTGTGCTGTTAGGATATTTGAGGGCTTGATGGACCAGGGGAAGCTACAAAATGACCAATACAGGGATTTTGTCAAGCAGCCTAGACCCAGAGGACTGGCACAGGGTGGTGGTCAGATACCTAGAGAAAGATGAGGCTGAACCAGGGAGAGTATAAACTTCCCCCCGGCAGGGGTCTTGTCTGTTTCATTCACCGGGTCTCCTCAGTGCTTCGAATAGTGCCTGGCACATAGCAGGTGCTCACTAAATATTTGTCCACTAGCTGAATTAGTCCTCTAGGGAATGACTGTGGCTCCAGTAGGCTGGGAATGGGGCCCACACGACTCCAGAGAAGTGACCCTCAATCTCTCCTACCCTGGGGATCACCTGAGTTCGGATAACTGGCCCTACCCCCAGAGGGATGAATTGCACTGGTCTGGGCTTCACTTGGGGGACTGGGAGTGTTGAAAACCCCCAGGAGATTCCGACGTCAGGCTGGGCTGAGAATGTCCAGCAGAAAACACTCGGCACGTAGAAGGGGCTGCTGCTCCAGACACCTGACAGGTCCCATCCCGGTGCCTGAGCTCGGTGCGGGGAAGGAAGGCCTGTCGCCTTCCTCTGGCACCCCGCTCCCGGGGCCTCACCACACCCCCCTTGCGTGTTGCTCCACTTCTGCTTGCTCTCCTGCCCTCCAGCATCTTCCTGGGACTCATCCCACAGCTGTCCCTTGCCGCTGCTCCCCTCCTGACCTTGCCCCACAGGAAAGGGTTGATGAGCCCATCAATTAATTGTGTCCTAATCCAATCTTGGCTTGGTTGGAGAGAGGGCAGTAAATCCAGCTGGGTAATCATGCCCTGATATTTGTGTAGGGATAATTACTATCTCTCAGGCCTCACTCGGTGGCAAGATGAGATGAAAACCCATAAAACACCACTTGGGGCTGTGCCTCATTGTTTCTTGGCTGCACAAGGCTGGCTGGCTGCCAGCCCTGCCCGCCCCTGCCCCTGGCACCGGCCCCAACCTCTTCCCCTCCCATTCAAGCAAGTAGCCGGGCTAACATCAGGGCAGTCTGGGGGCTGGATCCTGGCTTGGGCTCAGCAACTGGTAGGGACAACATGGTGGGCCCAGGGGAAGGCCAGTGTATGTGTATGTGACACGTATGCAGGGCCCAGGGTTCGTGGTCCCCATGGCCAGGCAGTCACCTGCCTCTAGGAGGTTGGGAGGCTCCAGGCTGGTGAGTGACAGGTCTGAACCACAGGACGACCTTCCCAAGAAGCTGCTGATATCTGGAGGGGTCCGGGCATGTCTCGCCTGTCCCCTAGGGACACGAGGGAGGTGCTGGACCCTCGGGAGGACCCTGTGGCCACAGACTCCAGCCTAGTGAGCAGAGGTCAGACAGGTGAGAACTTGAGGGTCAGGGGTTGGGGACACCTCCACCTGCAGCCCCAGGAACATCGCTCCCCGGAGGAAACCTGAACACCCACTATGGCCACATACTCTACTGGGGCCTAGGATTGAGTGTGCTGATTGAAAGGATAAATCCGGAGTCAGACCCCTAGGTTTGAGTCTTAAACATATCTGCTGGTGGTCTTGGGCAAACCGTATGACTTTTGCCTCAATGTCCTCGACTGTATGGGGGATGCCCCAGAACCTGGCCCCTGGAGCTGCCCTGAGGCTTTAGTGAGACAATGTGAAGCACTTAGGTTAGGGCCTGAGTCACAGCAGGTGGACACAAGCTACAGCTACTCCATTGCTACTATTCTTTCACCCCCACCCCCCATGCGTCAGTTTCCCTTGTCCAGTCCCTAGAATGCAGGACCATGCTACTCAAAGTGTGGTCCCTGGACCGGCAGCAGCATCGTAGCCTGCGAGTGTGTGAGCCTTGCCAAATCTCCGGCCCGATCTCTGTGCTGTCCCAAGTCTCTCTGCCCTTTTTTTGGCTGCCCGTGTGCTGTCCCGGGCCTATCTGTCAAGACCAGGTATAACACAAACAACAAGTAAGGTGCACATCACCTTTGCCATTTTCTGCCACGGGAGGAGGGTGCTGAGGAGGCCACAGCCCAGCATCTGCAGGGACACAGCCCCCGGGAGATACAGAGGTGCTCTGAGCTCAGACAGGCTCCATGAGCTCAAGGTTTATCTGCCTCCAAGTTGCATGGAAAAAGGTACTTGGCTCGAATCTGTGGGGTGAATAAGTGAGTTCATCGGAAAGCCGAGGGGGCCATGCCCACTTCCAAAGCATTTTTAAAAGGTCTCCTAGAAGCAGCACGGGAGGTGGTTCCAGGGAGTCTGGTGGCTACAGCAGCTGCCCAGGGGAGAAGTGATGAGTGGTTGAGTCACTACCACAGGACAGAGGGTGGTCAGGAGCGATGGCTTGGGGGGGCGGGGGAGGGGTGCTGCAGAAAGGGGTGCTTACGCACCTTCATCTAGCTCAGGGGCCCTGCGCGAGAGCAAGCGAAGGTGTGATCCTGGGTGTCTGCTGGACAGTGAGGCCCTGGAGGAGGAGGGGCTGAGCCTGGAGCAGCCAGTCACAGGAGCGGCGGAAGGCTGGGGCTCAAGGCACATCTGGTGTTGAGGCCCAGGGCCGCCAACCCTTACCTGAGAAGGCATTGTTGGTGTTGAGGAAGTAGATCTCCTCCCGGCCATCCCCGTCGATGTCACAGGCCGTGACCCCAATGGCATAGCCCTGCCGGTCCCGCAGTGCGTAGTAGGGGGAGCTGCGCTCATCAACAGCGATGTTCACCAGCCGCTTCCGGGCCCGGTCGTACTTCAGAACCAGGTTGGGACCATTGTACCTGGAGGAGGGGTGGGGAAGGAGGTTTGGGGGGAGCACTGGGCCCACCCAGCTCCACCCAAGTAGAGCAATGGAGCAATGAGTCCTCCCAGACAGGTCAGCCCCACAGCGCTGCTGGGGACCCTCAGGATCCTTGTCTTGGGGGTCCTTGGGTGTTTGGTGAGTGTCCCTAAGCAGATACAGACCCAGGCAGGACAAATCAACTGGGACACAATATAAGGAGCAGGGTGGTGGAGGGGAGTGGGCAGCCAACCCCTCACCTCAGGCTCTGCTGAAGCAAACAAAAACTTCCCTGACATTTTGATCTTGCCCATTTCAATGAAAAGCCACCTTTATTCATAGACTCTCATTAGTTTAAAATGAAAACTATCAAGTGGGGCAGGTGTGGGAAGCTGTATTCATTATAAGTCCATTTTACAAATGAGGCAACTGAATTTCTTTGGGAAGACTGAGGCCCAGAGAGGTTAAGTGCCCTGCCCAAGGTAACACAGCATGGTTATTTGGAACTAGGGCCTTTGGACTTTCTGGCAGTTCTTGTGTGAGTGAGCCCAAGAGGAGCAGAAGGCACTGGTTTGGAATGACTTTCTGAACAAAATAAAAAAAAACAGTAGTATGAAATTAGCATTTCGGACGAGGGAATATGAACACATCTGAAGTGGGAGATGAACTTGCTGGGTCTGTTTTGAAGATTTTAAAGGCTTATCAGTCCTCATCTCTCCTGGTCCCCTCCGGCAGCTGCATGAGCCCCCAGGCTTGTACTTGCCTCGGGGACTTTGCACTTACTCTTCCCTCTGCCAGATACCCACGTGGCTGTCTCCCCCCTCACCTCCCTCAGGTCTTTACTCAATTGTTTTCCCTGCTCGATTCTGAAAACCACACCCGATAAGCCCTAGCCCATCCCCCTCCTCTTTCCTCAGCTTTTCCCACCTGTGAACCATCCTCTACTTTCTCGTTAGCTCCTTCCTTCTCTGTCTCCCCACTCAAATGCTACTCCGGGAGGGCAGAACTCTGGGCTTTGTTCCCCAGGTCTAGACCAGTGCCTGGCACCCAATAGATGCTCAATAAAAATCTGTTGGGAATGAATGAGGCCTCAGAGCTCAAGTCTGAATCATGAAAACTCAGGTGTCCTACAGTCAATTTCTGGCCATCGCCTTTGCCTCTGTAGAAAGCTCCGTGCCCAAGGTCACCCCCAGGCAGTGCACCATGACTGCCTGGAGGCCCCCTCTGCCTCCTGGGAGTGCCAGCCTGCCAGGCTCTCAAAGAAACCCGGCCAACCGCATCCATTAGTCCCCCGCCTCTGCCTTTGTTTTAACCCAGCGAACGAGTACATCCTGCGTGAGGCTCAGCTGCCAGCCCTGGATGCTCCCTGGCTGAGAACACTTCGGGGAGGGCAGAAAGAACTCTCCAAGGTCTTTGAGAGAAATCACTTCTTGCTTTCCTGAAATAGATCCAACTTGGCCGACTCCTCATCACAGAGATGTAAAGCCAGTGAAGTTTGGGGGAGCAACTGGCTGGGCGCCTCTTGGCACCCAAGTGTGTACGAAGGAGCGAGAGCTCACTGGGGGCTGAGTCAGCGCCGGGTGATGGAGGTTGTGCCTGCGAGGGCTTGACGAAGAGGTCTGGGGCCGCGTCAAGGCTCCGTGTGGCCGGTGCGGCTGTGGCTGTGTGGGAGGGTTAGGATGCTGGGCCTCAGCCCCGCCGCAGTGATTCCAGCCAGCAGAGTCAGGGGCGCCTCTCACCGTAGTCCCTAACGGTCACCACACCTGCCTCTTGACAGGCAACAGAGTTCTGGCACAGTAGGTCTCGTCCAAAGTCCGTACACTTGCTTTGTCTCACTGGAGCCCTGCGTAACCCCAGAGGGCAGACAGTAAGGCATTTTTCTAGAAAAGGAAGCCAAGGGTCAGAGAAGCAGGACCTTCGGCTTCCTCCAGGGGCTGGACCTATCCTTCCCACACCTCAGATGCCGACATTCTTAGTCCTGTGCATTTTTCCTCCTTCCGAGTAGCTGCGGGAAATGCCCAAAAGTATCAAAACAGCGGAATGAGCCCACGATTCCACAGCATTTCCCAGTGTTCAGAGTGCTCTCTCAGCCTTCATTTGCTTCTCACCAGTCAAGACCCTTGCCAGGGAGGATTATGGCATCAGGTGTTCAGTTCCCCTTTGACCAGGTCTGGGGTTCTCGGGGCTCTGCTGGCCTCATGCCTGAGCCTCTAGCAGTTCCCGGGGACAGCCAGCCATACCCCCTCCAGTCACGCAGTGTCCCCTAGACAGGCTCTGCCCTTTCCGGCTCCTGTGGCTTTGCTCAGCTGCAGCTGCTTCCTCCGGGGGAACGTCCTCATTCTCTCCACCCTCCCGCCGTCGCATGGAGCTTTGCCCTGACTGGTTGGGTGTGAGCCTCTTCTCTGGATACTCAGAGATGCTTTGCATCTCACTACTGCAAGGCTGGTTTTCTGTATTCCAGCATCACTCTCCTCATTACAACCTATGCTTCCTGGGCCGGGAAGCTGTGCCTAGAGCAATGCCTGGCACACAGAAGGCACTCAGCAAGCGCCTGTCCAGCACAAGGAAGAGTGAGACTCGGCACTGCCAGACTCTGGCACAGTGGCAGGGGAGGCCATTTTGGAAACCAGCAGTAATGAAAAGACTTTACTGAAGGAAGACTATCTTCATAATGGGTTCATGATTAAATATACAGTAGCTGTTGAAATAAAAATGAGTGAGTGAATAAGTGGGTAAGTGAATGAATAAATAAAATTAATCTTGAGTAGCATTAGCAAAGCAGTTGCCAGGGCCCGGGCACCTTCTAAACCCTTTCTCTCCATGTCTCACTTCAGTCTCATGTCAACCCCAGGGCTTTACAGATGTGGAGACCGAGGAGCAGTGACTAACCCACCCATGGTGTCTCTGGCCAGTCCCCAAATGGAGATGCCTGGGAGCCGGACCTCTCTTGGACATCTGCCGGAGGTTGTTGGGCAATTCTAGATAGTCGGCAGGATTTGCTGTTCAGTTGAATAGGGCCAGGAAGTGGGACCCAGTCCCGTGTTCTTGAAAAGCAGCTGTGACTTGTTAATATCAATGGCAGGGCCAGCAGGCAGACAGGACTGGCTGGAAAGCAACTGGAAACCAGCTAGAGAGTCATCGGCAGGACCTGACCCATGAGTCTGTCCAGTTCTGGTGCCAGTCCAGTGGGAGAAGATGGCCCAGATGGAGAGGGGCCCTGAGTCAGGCCAAGAGCAGCCCGGCCTTCCCACTTCCTGGCTCTGATCTTGCGCTTGTCACTCAGTTCCTCTAAGCTCCAGCAACCTCACGTATAACTCGGGGCTGCTACGTACCTCGCAGGCTGTCTGTGAGGGTAAGTGAGAGAGAGCGTGTGATAGCACTTGGTAAACTGTGAAAAGTTGCACCATTATACGTTGTCATTAAAAACAAAAAACAAAAACCGAGGCACGATCTCTGGTGATCCTTTTGAGAGTTTCCGAGCACGTGCTTGTGTTTTTCACCCAAAGCGTCCCCCCTTGAGCTCTCTGGTCCTCTGCCAGTGTATTTCTTTATTCCCCTTTAGAACCAAACTTCTAAAAGCATCTGCCGCCCACTTCCCTCCACCTCCCACGCATTCGGCCCTGACTCCAGCAAAGTGCTCCCATTGCTGTCCCTAGCGGCCATCACGTGACCATGTCTGGGGACCCCTTCCTGTCCTGCTCTTTCTCGTCTCTCCAGAGCAAGTGGCTCTGCTTCTCTCGGCCCCACGGGCCCACCGCCCTGTTTCCCTCTTCCTTGGCTCTGAGGATGCCATCTGGTTTTCCTTCTCTGTCTCCGTTCCCTCTCCTTCCCGCTTTGCAGGGTCTCCCCATCTAATGTGGGAGTCCCCAGACCTGGTTCCTTGGCCCCTTCCAGTCTCTCTCCCCTTTCACTGGAGGACAATCTCCATTCCCATGACTGACAATCACAAATCGGTTCAGGTCTCTAACCCGAACCCCAGTCCAAGTCAGACTCAGACCTGACTGCCCATCTGACAGCTCCCCTTGCACACCCGCTGTTATCTCTGCTGGAAAGTGTCTAAAATGGAGCTATGAAGCTCTTACCATATGCCCCCCAACCCCCCCCAAAATGACATCCGTCTGGGCTTTCCTTCCCCCTGGTGCTCACCTCCGACTCTTTGGTCTACCTCCTAAAACCCTTCAGGTCTTTTCTTTCTCCTCCTCCTCTTGCTACCATCTCTGGAGTGCTTCCTTTCTCTGTCCCTCCCTTGCCCCATACCTATAAAATCCACCCCCACTCTCCCTGGAGACAGTTATTTTTCAAAAACAGATCAGTGTCTCTCCTGCCTAAGATCCTGCGTGCCTCCCATTATTTCAGAATGAGGCCCAGGCCCAGTGTCACGCCTGCCTGGGCTCCGACTTGTCTCCTGACCTCCCACGGGGGGCCTCTTTTCAGAACTGACATTGCTGCAGGCGCAGTACAGCCTGGGTCCTCTTGTGGGGCCACCCCCTCTGTCTAGGGCTCTCTCCCCACTTCCCTCCTGTGCAGTCATCCCATCTCACCTTAACATCCTTGGAGGGAGCTCCCCAGCCCCATTCCAATCATGGCATCACACTCCTGCTTTCATTTGTTTTCCTGCCAATTGCCCATTTCTCCCATAAGCTTATGAGACTGGGACTGTCTTCTGCCTCCCTGTCACCTCCGTATTGAGTGCGTAATGAACACTTGCAGAGTGAACGAAAGAGAAGTACAAATTCTTCACTGGGTAACTGAGCAAAAGGCAACTGAGCACCCAGTCTTTGTCTTTGACCTTCCCCTGTGATTAGTTTCCCAAACACATGGACAAACATAGGAATGGCAAAGAGGAGGCAAAAAGCCAGTGTCCTGGGTAAGGGTGGGGGGGAGGGGTATTCTAGACCGAGACAGAAGCTCAACCTTGCTTTTTTCTGCTGAGAATTGTTGACCTGTTTGAAAAAGATCACTTAGGCAGTTATGTAGGGGAAAGTCTCATTAAAGGATGTA